GGGGCCCCCCCCAGCCTCTGAGCACAGAGCTCTGCAGGCTTGACAGCCTCTCTCAGGACTTGTCTCACTTGGAAACACAGGACATGAAGTCCAAATCCCAGCTCCCTTGGGACTGCACCCAGCTCTACCATCCAGAACAAGGTCACGCTGACCCATCAGCAAGAAGCAGGGGATGGCGTGGGCACAGACACGGGGCCGTGGTGATGAAAAGGGATGCCTTGCTGAAGATGGATACAAACAGAGCACTCCTTGGCATGAGCCAGCTCCTCAGGGACACTGGCAACCAGCATCGCCTCTCCCAGCTCAAACCCCAGAGACGGGGCTGAGCCCACCAGCAGACAAGGACCAAGCCTCCATGGGAAAGTCTATTCTGCATTATTTCTTATGCTCTCCTCACCTCTAACTTCTCTGGAGACTTTCTGAAGACAGGGGAACATAAGTACAAGGGGATCCCACAAACCTAGAAGCTGGGACAATGCATGTTGTGGCATACTGGGACCACAGAAGGTGATGGCTTGGCCATCCCTGCCTCTGCGCCCAGATTGATCGGATTTACTTCTCTGTGTATTCCAGCATTGAAAACCAGATATCAACATCTCTGCTGCTCCTGAGCTACCAGAATGAGTTCTCTCTTGCTCAGTATTTACCCATTGAAACATCTCTCTAATTTACCTTGCCAAGGCACTGGGAAACCTGCAGTCTTTCTTCTGCAGGAGACAGACAAAGCCCACGGCCACTTAACCAGCTGAATTCAACAAAGCTCAAAGTAAAACCGAACCTATGTGCTACTTAAGTGGAAACATCCCATTGCGTTGGCTGGGATCAATGACTCGACACTATCAGTAATTAGGCTCAATCCCGTAAAACCTAATCCAAGGAGAAAAACCCTGAGGAATCTCTCTCCTTGGACCTGGTAACTATCTCACAGCACCTGCAATGACATGCAACCGTGGCGAAATCGATACGGGAACATCATTGTAAGAATTAACTGTATCTGACGACACATCCTTCTCTATTAGAGTTATGATCTCGTCCAATTATGGATCTTTCCTGAACTTGTAATTATGAGTTTGGTTCTGTGACTTCCCACTAAGCTATTGCTTTCCTTCCACGAGGGAGAGAAGAGTCGATGAAAAGATAATGGAAAACTCCTTTCAAGGACACAGCGATGGCAAAATTTAGCTAGACGGGGGGGGAAATACAATGGGGACTTTCTGCAAGACAATTCCCTCGGTTAGGCACCGCCGAACACGAACAAACCGGGTTCTCGCAGCATCGCTCAAACGCTGGCGCAGATCTAACAGCCGGCTCCACGCAACTGCGCCAGGCAGCTCTTCCTCCTGAATTCCCTTCAAAGCTGCCCAGGTGAACAACAGCTTATTCAGAGGAAAAGAAAGGAATTCTTCCCATTTATCTATTCCTTTATATTTACCCTACAAGGAAGCTTAAACAAACAACCCAAAGCCAACGTATACGTCAATAAGAATCTCTTTGTACCCGGCATCAAGCACGAGCGTGTTTCAAGAGCCTGGCAGAGCACTTGACCTCCCAGGGAATGGCGTCAAGGCAGTGGGAGCGCAAAGATTTATCTGCTTGCCATTAAAACACGGTTTTCTCCACCTTGCTCGTGCACCGTCTCCCCCTCCCCTTGTGGTAGCTGAAAAAAAAAAAACAACTTCCGCGACTTTTCCAAAGTACCCAAGGACTTTGACACCCAGCTCAGTGTTTCACAATAACTCATGGAAAAAAACTACTTTAGCATGTGGGAATTTTTCCTCCTGCATCAGTGACTTTTTGGGACCCTTTCTTTTGTCTCTGTTTGCAATGCAACCAATTTCTTCCTTCTCTCACGCATCATTTTCCCCTTAACGCAGCTACGTTCGTACTGCAGGCAACTTGAACTCCTGCTTTCCATCAAAAGCTCATTTTAAACTCGGTGAGAATTTCTCGTGGTTCTGAAACACACGGAAATTAAAAAAAAGAGACAAAAATGGAACGCCCTGCCTTTCGGCAGGAACAAACGCGATACACCCCTGTGCACGCGTGTGCTTTTTCCCATGCGTGACCATCAAGCTGATCAGAGGTGCCGAGGTAATTTCACGTTCAAATAACCACGTTGTGAGCATTTATCAGAATGCCTAATCACTGAAACAACTGGGGCCGCGCGTGCCGCGGTGGGCACCGGCGTGTATCCGGCATGCTGCACTCCGCCGCTGCCCGGCTTAATGCAGGAACAAACGGAGGGAGCAGCCCCACTGTGCAATTTTCAAATTGCTTCCCGATGTAGTTATTTCCCAACAGTGATTTTTCAAATGCAGCCACAAGGCTCACCCTGTCCCCCGCCAAAGAGCTTAGTCCGAGGGTCCCGAACAAAAACGATCCAGCATGATGCGACCGGAGGAAACGTGGATGCTGATTTCAAACTGCGTCTGATGTTTCAGTTTCTCAGCTCCTCTAAGTCACAAAAATGCCTGAAGGGACTCTGGTCTACAAATCCCTGCCCCAATCCTCATTTTGAATTTTTTCCTTTTAATTGCCTTTGTGCCGAGAGGAAGACCAGGAAATTTCCGTCCAACAGACGCTTTGCATGGGAAATAAAGGGCAGAAAACAGAAGTTTGGAGCAAGGAATTGCCAAGGTGACCATCCCCAACAGCTGCACGTGATGGTGACAGACACAGTCACCACGCACTAGTGTGGCTTTAGGGAAGTGTCAGAGCATGGGTAATGGAACTGGTACTAGAAACCATCAAAGAAACCCAGAACCTCAGCAACATCACTGGGAAATGCTATTTATAGCTCCTGCATGGCGCTGCATCACACAACCGGCACATCTTGGGATATCCTTACCACTACAGACTGGTATCGTGATCCTTACCTAGACTCCTGCAGTATCAGACAGCATCACCCATTGAAACAGTCAAGATGCTCAACCATTTTTCCTCTTACACCCGCGTGCATCACCACTGCCTGGGTCATTTCGTACCTTTGCTTCGTCTCCGGCTCCGATATTGCTCAGTGTAGAAGGTTAGCTGTGTTTCATCATCCGCCTCTGAGCCAGAGTTTCCTTTGGCACGTCCAAACCCGATCCCACCTGCAAGCAATAGAGAGGAAAAAATCAGCTGGGACGCGTGGCAGCAGGAGGGAGCTGGGAGAAACTTGGCAGAGCTACCGGATTTGGCTGGCATCTACCGCTCCCAGCCCAGGTGCTCTGCTCAGGGTCACTAGAAGCAACCAGGGACTTTTTTGCCACCTGTGATTTCATTGATTCCTTATTGCCCTCACCAAGAATCAAGACCAATTGTGAAGCGAATGTAAAAAGATTCTCTCTACCCCCAGGAACGTATTTTGCAAATTTATTGCAATGTATTTACAAAGAAAACCTCTGAACGTAGAAGTTGCCCTCCTCGAGGACACCTACATGGTGAAGAACAGTGAAATTTAGGTGTTTGCTTCAAAGAAAACCCAGCAGCATGGGGCGGGGGATACAGCACTCGGGGGCACTCAGGACCCCGCTGCACGGCGAGGGTCCAGCTTCCGTTACTCAGCACCCACTTTGGCTCACCTGCTCCACCAGCTCGCCGTGACGGCCAGCAGCACGTGTCCCGGCAGCGGCTGGGACCGACAACCGTGACCAGGAGCCGGGCCAGCCCACGGGTCACCTCCAGCATCTCCCTCCTGGGGCTGGAGACGGCGCAGGGTACTGGAAGAGCCCGGGTCGCTCGGCTGCCGGACCCACTTGGGAGTGATGGACACTTAAAAAGTGACACAGGCTCTAACTGGCAGAAGTCCTTCAATCTTTGCAGAGTTTAAAGCAAAGAGGCCTCTGGGGGTTGACAGTGGCCCTTTAAACTGCCATTAAAATATTTTACTGTTTTTAAAAAATCCTTTATTCTAGGCAGAAGCACAATTTCCTCATTTCTTGGCAAGAGAACAGAAAACGAGCGGTGCCTTCTGCCCTCCGAAATCCTTAATCACTGTGATGAGAGGTAGCTGGCAGGAGCCAGAGGGACGCCAGGAGCTTGGCACGTGGCTCCTGCCCCGCACGCAGTGCCCACAGCGGAGTCTTAACAAGAGAAGAGGCTCCGCCAGCTCCTTTCCTCCTGAAAGCAGCAGGAGGGGTCAGCGCTCGCAGACAACAGCGCTTAGTGCTTGGACATGGGATCTGGGGGTTACAGACTTGCACCCCAAACCACAACCCACCATCAGCCCCTCCTCAGACCCCCGTATCACAGCGAACATCTGATGTCATGATACACCCGCACCCAGGGACTGGGGTTTTGAAGGCCACAGCAGAGTGGTAAAACCAATAAGGCTTATTCGCATCAGCAAGGAAAATCTTAATTAACCTGGGCTTCTACTCAGGCCCTTGGGTGACCAGCCAGGGCTGCAGCTCTGCTGCACATCCCCTTCTGAGGGGTCGGCAACGAGCCGGCAATGTGTGCTGGCAGCCCACAAAGCCAACCCTGTCCTGGGCTGGGCCCAAAGCAGCGTGGCCAGCAGGTCCAGGGAGGGGATTCAAGAAGAGAAGGCTCCGGGGAGACCTTCTAGCAGCCTTCCAGTACCCTAAAGGAGCTACAAGGAAGCTGGAGAGGGGTTTTGGACAAGGGTGTGTAGTGACAGGACAAGGGGCAATGGCTTTAAACTGAAAGACGGGAGATTTAGATGAGATAGACGGAAGAAATTTTTTACAATCAGGATGGTGAAGCACTGGAACAGATTGCCCAGAGAAGTCGTGGCTGCCCCATCCCTGGAAGCATTCAAGGCCAGGTTGGATGAGGCTTTGAGCAATCTGGTGTAGTGGAAGATGGCTGGGGGTTGAAACTAGATGATCTTGAAGGTCCCTTCCAACCCAAACCATTCTATGGTTCTATGATTCTCCACTGAGTACGGGCTGCCCTGTGCTCTTACGGTGCTGGCGGTGCCCAGGGCTGGGAGACACCCCCCAGCCACAGGAGGGTTTTTCCCCTCCAGGAGCCCAGCAGAGCAACCTCCTCTGCCCAGGTGAGGGACCTGGACACTGCCTGCACTGGCATGTCCCTCTGCCACCTTCCCATCTTCCAGATCTGGTCCTTTTTGCACAGGCAGATGGCCGGGGACGGACAGAAGCAGCGACCTCAGAGATCCCCGGTGCTCGCTTCGCTCTCACACCCCCCTTTTTTTAGGGGAGCAGGCAGCCGGTGCAGGCAGCGGGCAGCAGCCGCTCCACCAGCCACCGTCCCAGCCTCCTCCGGCCGCTCCGTGTTTGTTTGCCGGCTGTGTCTCCGTGATGGATGGCGCTGACATGTTAAATTACTCAGGCTGGATGTCTTCAGAGAGCTGGTGACAGCGATATTGCATTTTCTGATTACCCAGCACTGCGCAGGATGTATAAATACAGGAGTCGGGAGACCTGGCGCAGGTCCCCAGCCCACAGCGGAAACGTCTCCTCTGACCCAACACGAAGTGGCAGAGGTCAGCCTGGAAACACGAGCCCGTGGCACAGGAACGGCTGAGAGGGATGCACTTCCATTTCTTTATTTTCTCAGGAATGCTGGAAGGCAGCTCAGCTGTGGTTCTGGGCATCCCGGAGCCCAGTTGAGGCAACCTGTAGGATGCAGGAGCGCTGATCCTCAACTGATCCTGCCGTGAACTTGATTTCATGTTTAATCAGTCCCAAAATCTTGCCGAAACAATCCTATGAGATGTTCGTGCTTGGGGCAATATGCACACACCGGCTCCGCCAGCCAGTCTCAGTGGCAAGGTGCTCATTGGGGCATGGGGCTGAGGATGCTGGTGGCAGAGCCAAGGATGCTGACAATAGAGCCAAGGATGCTGACGATGGGGCTGAGGACACTCACATGCAGCTGCTGATAAGGATGACAAGGGAGAGCACCCAATAAAAGCCCACCAGCCCTGCTCAGTCACCACTCCTTTTCTCTTTAAAAAGCAGGAGAAAAAAATGCCAAGGAACAGAAAAAATGATCCTCATCACTGCAGCCGATGGCAAAGCGGAGCAAGACACTTAAAAGAGAGAGGAGAGAGGAAGCAGCAACTTCACAGGTCTAGGTACCCGTAATGCACCGGCAACTCTGCAGCAGCTCCCTTGAGGAGCTACACCCCCTTTACACCTAGTTTACTCCTGCTACTTAGATTTGAGAATAAAACCAAAGCTCCCCCTCCTCGCGATGGGGCAGGAGGTGGAGGGGAGGCTCGCGGGAGAGGAGGGGGGAGCCCAAGGAAGATGCTCTGGCTTCTAATCCTGTTTGCAGATTTACAAGCTCGTTAATCCGTTCAAATAGATCGCAGCTCAGCCACGCGCTGGGGCAGGGCGCTCGTTTGGAGCCCGGCATTAATTTAGCGGGGAGCAGGGGGGAGCAAGGCAGGGTGCCAAGGCAAACACCTCTCGTTGCGGTGTAATTAAAGACAGTAGAGTTAATGCTAAACTGAGACTAAGGAAATAAAATTTGGGAATTAGAGGCTCTGTTATCCCCAAAGACTTTTTCGTTAGTCAAAGCCATGTGTGTTTTTTAAAGGCGTGTTTCTGTCACTAAAATAAAAAAAAAGCGCAAACCTGGTATTTTAAATGCCTTCCCCAAAGCCAGGAGGTTACAGAGTGTCTCAGGGGAGCAAAATGGATGTGAAACAAATCAGAAATAAGACAGAATAAAGTAATAGGAACTCTTTAGATAACTCCTGTTTGAGGTCGGGTTGACCTCAGATACTTAATCCCTCCAAGCTGGGTGTTAGAATAGAAGTGGGTGCTCGTATTTGTCCCCAACAGTGTCACCCTGGGTGACACTCATGTCTGTGCATCCCCCTGCCCCATTGCCAACGCAAAAGGATTTTCTGCATCCCTCCCCTCCCAAAAAATGGCCAAACCCTGTACATACCCCAGCACTCAAGACCCAAGACCTCCCTGCTTGGCTGTGATCGGTTCACTCCACCTCCACCCTCGCTCGCCCCATGCAACACCGTCTCCCGGGTGCTCAACAAGCCCCTCTGCTCCCAGGCTTCCCAGTAAAAACCAGCTGACGACTCCCCCTTCGCCACCTCCCTGGAACCACTGCGAGGCTCGTGCACTGAGGGCTGACAGGGCGATGTGGAGCCATGCAATTAGCTGAGTGGAAATTTTCAGTTTAATTAATTTGCTCCCAAAAAGCCCACCAGTGCACCAGCCAACAGGAGAAAAAAAAAAACAAACGCCACCAAACACAAACAAAAAAAACGTAGCCAGAGAAAGGTAAATTAGATACAGGTTTAGGGAGGGGGGAAAAAACATGCAAATGTTTTCTTTTGAAATTTATCAACACAAAAAAAAAAAACATAAAGAAAAAAAAATCCTTAAAAAACGAGGCGCTTTGCTCAGGTCTGTCACTGCAGCAGGGATGCACACACACCACCTTCAACTGATGGAAATTCTTCCTCATCATCCATCGCCTCTTTTCTTTCTGCCTATGCCCAAAAAACCACACCAGGGCTGGTGGTGCCAAAGCCAGGTGCCAGCCCCACCACTTCCACTGTGGAAATCTAGGATCAGCTCACAGAGTGCAGCCTCCACACAGCTGCGAAGGGTTTTATTTTCACCAAGGACCAACTCTCAGAGCTGGACGTGATGCTCTGACCCAGATGAGGTGAAAGCTCCCGGGTGAACCCCCAAAAAACCCCGCCAGGAGAACGCGATGGCACGGTGGGACAGAGCAGTG